ATCTGAGCCACCCAGGCGTCCCTTTGGTTTGACTTTTAAGAAGCCACTACTATTACCTCGTGGCCTCTGTTGGGAGAAGGGACAAAAGGTTGTAGGGATTAAAACTGTACATTAACTTGAAAGCTAATGCACCTGTCCGAGAATAAGATCTTGTGCTCCCAACTCCCTCTCCATCTACTATAAGCTAGATTGTGTTGAGAAAGTTGAGGCTCCTTAGGTGGAGATTTCTGGTCTGTGGTGTCACAGGGGAGGCTGAGAGTCAGTGGTGATCATCTCATCGTGTTCATTGTACCTGTTGGTGTAGAGTCCTGGAATGGAGACACACGTGCCGTAGAACCGTAACTAGCAGAGCAGGACCTGGTCTCCCCGGTAGAGGAAGCAGCCTTGAAAAGCATCTAGTGTAGACAGTGTGGTTCCAACCCAAAGAAGGATAGAAAAAACAGGGACTGCTTTAATCCATAAAGTGCAGCCCTCGGGCCTGAATAAATAATTGGGGTTTTATAACTAGGTAATAAGGGCTAAAGACAAAGTGTGTGGTGGGGTTTCTTTAAACCTGCTTACATTGTCCTGAGTGGTAGTATTCTTGCAATTCTTGAACCAGGCAAGGGAGAAAGCCTGTTTGCCAGTTCTGTCTGGATTTTCTAGCCTGTGTCATACCACGCCCTCTCAACCACTTCTGATTTTGGACCCTGTTACCCGCTCGGGTGGGGAGAAAGTGTGAAATTGAAAGCATCCATTTTTCCAAGTATAAAAAGGGGGGACTGATGTGACTGGATCCAGAGACGACCTGGCAGTCTTACAGATGCCTTCCCTGGTCTCAGGACCCAGGAGGAGAGAAGAGCTGGCTTCAGGTGCATCTTAGACTGGAAGTTGGGCCCCTAACTAGGGGTGACCTGGGCCAGCTCTTTGCATCCTTGTTCGTTCCACTCTCCACCTGGGGTTCTTCCCTTCCGGCTACCTCCTTTCTACCCAGGACAAGCTGCTTTTGCTTCAGACTTCTGCCCATTGCTTCTGCTTCTCCCTGGGAACTAAGCCTAGTTCCCCCTTCCCTGGATATGCTGCAGTGATTAGGAGCTTAGAGCCAGACATTTCCTAGCTGGGTCAGTGGGGCAAGGTCCTTAACCTCTCGGGGCTTCAGTTTCATCCTTGGTCAGTAGAAATAATGATACCAACTTTCTAGTGAGGGTGAAAGCTAGTCTGGATTAGGTACTTGGTGTGGGATCTGGCTCAGAGTGTTCAGTAAATGGTAGCCATCCTCAATAGCCCTGATACTGCTGGCCTCTCCTGTAACATTCTGGGTAGGGTGTCCAGAGCTTCTGTTAGTGGTGATGTATGGTAGGTCTTCCCGTCCTACTGGCATTCCTCAGTTGCAGCTAGAACGTCGACATGATGAAGGGTCTGGTCTGGTCGTCAGAGCTCCAACCACCAGCTTCTGCTGTATGCTTCCCTCTCAGCTAAATGTTAATTGCTTAGGCACACCCGGTTCCTTGGCTCGGGTGTCCTACTCGTGGGTATATGGCTCAGCTGTTGTCTTAAGCCCCTTCCAGAAAAACAAAAAGGAGAGCTTAATGGCAGTGCACCATCATTTGGACTTGAGTGTTGTCTTGATTTTCTGGCGTGCCCAGCCTACTTACGCGTAATGGTGTGGAATGTAGGTTCTGCTTGGTGGGAGGCTAGAATCTTGGCAACATCCTTGTAGTCACAGGGTGAACACAAGCCAGTTGCACATTCATGCCTTAGTGACGCTGGCAGGGGCTGACATTTTGCTCCCTTACGTGCTGGAGCTATGGTTTAAGGAGAATGGGAGTGTCACAGCAGTGACAGGCAGAATGTGTCCAGCCTTACAGCTTTGTAGAGAAGGGCAGCAAAACCCAGAGACAGCCACCACTCTGAGCTGCTGGCGGGGCTTCACCCTTGCTATTTCAGTAACAGGCACATCATTATGCCTTCTGTGGATTTGTTTCAGTCATTCGATACTGAGGCTTGCTATGTGTGTGCCAGGCACTGTCTGGGACATTTGTTTGTTTTTTTAAGATTTTATTTATTTGAGAGAGAGAGAGCACACAAGCAGGGGAGGGGTAGAGGGACAAGCAGATTCCCCGCTGAGCAGGGAGCCCGACTCGGGGCTCGATCCCAGAACGCTGAGATCATGACCTGAGCCACACACGTGCCCCGGTTTGGGACATTTGTGGACCATTTTTATGGCCTGTAGTGTCTTTCATCCTAAAAAAAAAGCCCTGTGAAGCAGCCCTTCTCTACATTTGATAGAGAAAATCAAAATTCATAGTGGTTCAGTGACTTGCGTGAGGTTGCAGTTAGTTGACAGAACCAGAATTTTATTTGAGCCTTTAACTCTTTTAAGTTTGGCTTTCTGTGGTTTCAATGAAATTTTTAAACAAATGCTAGTGCCCAGGCCTCAGCAGCAGTGATGGAAGGGTGAAGGGATCTTTCCGATTTCCAAGTTCACTTTTCAGCTTGCTATCCATGTACCAAGAACCAAGTATCAGCATCACCAAGGCTCTGTTTGTTTTTATTGAGATATTATTGATAATAGTTTCAAGTGACAATTCAGTATGTATACATATTGCAGAATGGTCCATCCATTTTTCTTGTGATGAGAGCTTTTAAGATCTACGCTCTTGGCAGCTTTCTGATACACAATACAGTATTAACTATAGTCACCAGGCTGTATATTACATCCCCAGGACTTATTTTGGTTTGTTTGTTTTTTTTAAGTGGTGATTTGGCCTGGTCAGGAGTTTGGGTGCATTCCTTTCCCCTGTGAACTTGAGCCAGCTGGGAGAGGGCTTGCTTGACTGATCCACTCAACCTGGGCAGAGAAGGGGGAAGAAAGCAGAGATGTCGGGGTCTGCTCCCATGAAGCTTGGAGGTGAGGGCCATGGCCACCACACCTGAGGTAGGTGGTCCGTAAGAGTTTGAGCATTTGGGATGGACACCAGCATAAGGCAGGGACTCGACGGTAACATGGCCCAATAGATGTCTATCTTTCCGGTTTTACCAGTGTGGTAAATTCCTCCCGGGGCCGGGGGGGAGTGTAAGGGAGAAGTCTGTATGAGAAGTGGTCCCCCCAATACACCTGTCCCCTGAGGGCTAAGAAGGGGATGTGGGGCTAGGAGGAGAGGCTGCTCCCCTTTAGAGACTTCTGGTCCATCATAGCTTGACAGATTAGGGGGTATGGCTCAGGGATAAAGCATTTGACTGCAGAACTTGACAGATTATTCCAGGCTTGGATGGGTACAAACTTCCCTGGATGTGACATCCAGCTAGACTCACTTCAGCTGCTGAACAGGTGGGCAAACAAGCAGACTTGTGCTGTTGTTCTAACACCCAGTCTTATAGCTGGCCCAAGCAAGGGTTAGGGACGAACCTAACCTGGATGGGATTCCATCCATGTTGCCAGCTGGCCCCATGGGCCACTGTGCTGTGATTTCCCAGAGGTCCTTGGGGGAAATGGGGCGCCATGCAGTCCTGCAGCCCTCTCAGAAGTGAAGGAGTCTCTAAAGGATATTTCAACTCACTTTTGGTGGCTGCAGAACCATCAGGGCATTGGAAGCTGAGGATAAAGATCTCCCTCATTTGCTGTCAGCATGTAGACAGGGGTCCTTGAGGCTACCAGGCACCTGGAGGTGGGAACCTTCCTGGTGGTGCCCAGCTCTAGAGGGCCCCAGTGACAACGACTGACCTGGGAGAGTGGGTCAGGGTAATAGACCTCCCAGATTGAGTGCAGAGAAAGGATGAATTCATTAGCAACTTGAGCAGACTCCCTTGCAGAGTCAGAGGAAGATGCTGTGTAGTAAGCATAGGCTCTGGAATCAGGCAGATCTGGATGTAAGTTCTGGCTCTGCCTCTGTGAGATTTGATTAGCTTCTCTGCTCATTTCCTCATCTCTGAAATGGTCATAGGCATAGGCTCTAGGCTATTGGATGTGTTCGTCAAGATTATGCCTGCAAAGCTCTTAATGTGGAGCCGGAACCAGCGCTTAGTAGAACCGTTATTGGTTGCACAGAAGCCTGGGGCACACAACTCCAATGGGGAGGTAGATAAGACAAAAGGAAGGGGAGAAAGGGGAGAACTGGGAGGACCCCGAGAGTGGGCCCCTGGCTGGCTTCATGAAATGGGGCCTAGAAAGGAACAGCTTAGCATCGTGCAGGCAAAGAAGCTCTCACACACTGCAGACCACAGGGCGTACCCCGAGGCCCGGGAGGCTTGAGAGAGGAGCAAACAGGTGGCGGCGACGGCTACCGTGTGTGTGTGTGTGTGTGTGTGTGTGTGTGTGTGTGTGTGCGCGCGCGCGTGTGTGTGTGTGCGCGTGTGTGCGCGCGCGCGTGCGTGCAGGACAGTGTGTAGATTAAGAGGAGGGCGGGTACCACATGGTAGTGGCTGGGCCTGGGGACCCCGGGATTGGTGTAGGCTCCGCAGAGGCTACGGTTGCTGGTGGGGGCCCAGGGCATTTTATCTGTCCACAGATATCTACTAAGCCTGTACTCTGGGCCAAGTCCTGTGCCAATTTAACAGGGTGAGTACTATGCGCATGGAACGCTGCCCCACCTTGCTGGGGGAAAGAGCTTTTTATGTTTCCTTCCCCAGATCACTGACCCATCAGGTCCCAGCTGAGGGAGGCGCTGACACAGGGACATTGGAAACTGCTTTTATTACCCTGAGTATAACAAATAGAACACAGTCACAGTATTAAAAAACAGAGCAGGAAGTAGGTGCAGGCAATGACACAAAGTATGCACTGGGGACACGCTCCTTTCAGGGTCTGCAGCTAGTTACTTGGAAAAAGCCAGTTAGGATTGTAAAAATTTTCTCTTTAATAACAATAATTTCACTAAAATTATACAAAGTACATTCAATACTTAAGGGGAGGGAGGAAGCCAGTTTGGCCTGGAAGCATCATCTGTTGACTCCAACAAAGGAAGCCCAGCTGGGCTGGGAGGGTGGAGGTCTGGTTGTAAAAAATAAAAACGTGGATGGGTTAAAAACAAGGCCCCCCCCCCCCACCAGGAAGCAGGGTGAGCGTGCACGTTCCTGGGAGGGCGGGAGGCCCAGCCGGCATGCTGCTGCTGGGCCTGGGCTGGTGCTCAGGCGGGCTCCGAGTGGGTGGGGGGCAGGTTTTTATGCTTGAAATACTGCACGACTTGTTGGGGCAGTTCCGCCAGCACAGCTTTGGCCAAGGTCTCTTTCGCTGCCTGCGGGGCCGAGGGGGAGATAGGGTCAGTGGAAGACCGTGGTGAGGGGCGGGCTCTATGCCCAGACTGCTGTAAGAGAAGGTGTCTCTGGAGGACACAATCAGGGCTAAGGGCCAGGGCTGTCTAGAGCTCACGTCCCTTGTCCCAGCCAAGGTCTGAAACCCCACTGCTAGCAGTGCTTTGCCTTTACATGAAGTCTCTTTTCCTTGAGCACTTGAGATGCCCGGGGATCGCGTTTTAAGATGAATATGCCTGTGGGAGGCTTTTCAGGGAAAGAGACAGTGGAGGTGAGCTGCACAGCCTACTCACCTGACATTTCCTGAGCACCTTCTTGGCCCATATAAATGGGCCAGGACTGTCTGGCTCACTGCTGAATGCTCAGCCACAGGCCAGCCATGGGGAGGTGCTCAGTCAGTGTCCTGTGCATGAATGGGGGCCCGAGGCCCAGCATATGTCCTCAGGAAGCTAAGGCTCCAGAGGAAGGAGTCGGACCACCTCAGGCAAACCCAGAGGGCACTGGCTAGAGGTGTGAGCACCACTGGGTATAAAAGTGGTAAGTTCTTGCTAGGACTGGCTTGTAGGATCTGTACCACAAAACACCAAGAGTCCCTATGGCTGAGGGCACCAAGGTCTGGAGAGGTCAGGGACTTGCCCAAGGCCACAGAGTAAGCATCTAGTTAAATAAGAGTTGGGCCCCCAGGTGATGGGACATGGGTGGCATCTGAGACTGCTCCCCCTGGGATCCTGGTGGGTCCAGCTGCTAGTGCAGTGACCTTGTGGGCAGACCTGGGGTCACCTGCAGATAGGCCCAGAGCCACCTCCAGGAACAAGGTGGGGCCACCAGTCCCCCTGCGGGGCAGGCCATCCTAAGATGCGTCTCGTTTTCTATCTGTGAAGGAGGCTGGTTGAGGTGCGACTACCCACAAAAACCTCTCTCACCCCTGGGCCTTTGCTCTCAGCCCCCCGTCTACCTGGAATGCTTTGCCCCACCTGGATAACTCCAACTTCTGGTTCAGGACCTTGGTCGGAGGGCCGGGCCTCCCTGAAACCCTGCTCTGGAGCCCCAGTGTGGGTTGGGCACCACTCCCTGGGTTCCATGAGCTTGCTGAAGCCGGTGCTCACATGGTCGTAGGGGCTCATGTGGGGGTGGGCCCTCGGGCGCAGCACACAATGGAGCAGAGGGCAGAGGAGCCCAAGACCTTCATCCTTATTAACGCTGGTTGCTGGGGTCCCCTAAGCACCCCCTCCCCAGCCTGGGCCCACACTCACATTGCGGAACTCTCGGAAGGGCACGAACTGCACGATATCACGGGCTGCCTCCTCCCCGGTGTGCGAGCGCAGTGTGCGGCTGTCCCCGTCCAGGAACTCCATGGCGGCGAAGTCAGCGTTGCCCACGCCCACGATGATGATGGACATGGGCAGCTTGGAAGCCTGCACCACGGCGTGGCGCGTCTCCTCCATGTCACTGATGACGCCGTCCGTGATGATGAGGAGGATGAAGTATTGCTGCAGGGAAGAGGCAGCCAGGTGCTCTGAGGCCTCTGTCCCCCCTTCCTCGGCCTCCCCCAAACCCTCTGACCCCTGGGAGGAAGGCAGCTCTCCATGCCCAGCTGCCGCCAAATCCCAGCCCCGGCCCGCAGCACCCCACCCCTGCAGGCCTCTCGCCATCCAACCCTGACCTGGTCCCAGCCCGAGGCACAAACTGCTCTCTTCCCCCTGCCCTGGCTGTGACCTTAGACGCCACAGCTCTGTGTCAGGGCCCCAAACTCCAGGCCTGGCCCTCCGGTTGCTCTGCTGTGGGACGCGGGGCAATTGGCTGACGCCATGCCTCAGCTTCATCATCTGCACGGTGGCAGCTGCTGTACCACAGTGGCACTCTGTGCCCGAGAACTGCATCCCTGGCGGGCAGGCCCATGGCCGGGGAGGGAGGCGCGTCCTGGCCGACCTGGACCAGCCTCGCCTTCTCCGCTCCACACCGATCCCTGCAAGCTGCTCCTTCCCCGGCTGCAGGGCTGGCCTCTGAGACAGGCAAGCTGCCTGGCACACAGGCCAGTGCTTCTGGGCTCACACAGCCTCAAGGCAGTGTTACTTCTGCAGTGGTCTTTCACTTCCGCAGACTGTACCCAGGAGGGAGTCTCGGGTCGGTTCTAGTGGGCCTTTAACGCCTCTCATTTGCTCACCTTCCTTATTAACAGAGGCGGGAAGCGCAGAGCTTCAGGGGATGAGAGTTTCTAGCTAGACTTCAATACCAGGTACAATGTTTTTTACCGTTACTCTCTATATATGGCAAGTGGTAACTTTTCACTTAACAGTGGGCTATACAGTTTCCTTATAAAATTACTTAAAACACTGAATAATTAGCATGGGCATGCATGGCCATAGCACGGACTGTGAACGGGACACGGTGGGCACATGAGGTTCAGGAAGGCTCCCTAGATGGCCTGGGCAGAGGCCCCAGAATACCAAGCCAGCTGACACCTTAGTGTCAGCTCTGTTCTTAGCACCCTCTGGCCCCTTTTTAAGGAACCTGGTTTGCCCCATCCGTAAAATAAACAGAAAAGCCCTAACTGGCCCTAATATTCTTTGAGGCTTTTGCCTTCTAGTCTGATCCTTTTGGTTCTCAGGAGAGGAAAAAGGGGGCCAGACTAGTCCAGGTCATAGAGGGCAGAACTGAGCCAGACCCTAGGTCAGCACCTGGCCACCTTCTCACCCAGCAAACCATTTGCTCACTGGGAACCATACAGAGGCTACAAGTTCAGGCCCCTAGGATGCCCTACTCTCCTGCTTGTCCCCCACGCACAGCCCTAGAAGGAGCGGGTGAGCCGCTCGGAGGTGTAGACCCACCATCCTAACCCACCTCCTGCACTGTGCCTTTAAGAGACCGAGCCCTGGATGCTGGGGATACCTGTTGCCATGGAGATGGCAGCCTGGATCCCTGTAGTGGAGGGCAGCAGCTGCCAGCCCCCCATGCCTGTGGTTGGAGGGCCTTATAAGCCCATCTACACCCTTGTCCCCCCACAGCCCACCGTTGTTCCAGCACCCCTTCTGTAAATGGCCCTCTAACCCCACTCCCCTCCCGCCAGAAAGTCCAGGGCAAGATTTCCAGGGCACCTAAGCTGGCAGGAGGGAAGGCACGGAAGGTCCTGGTGAGGAGGAGGGAGGATGCCTGGCCTCAATCAACAGGTTCACCACTCAGGGTGGGACTGGCCTCCCACCCTCCCCACCCCCCATGCGGCCCTCAGCTTTCTCCTTTCACTCAGCCGCACATCTATGCCAGAAGATTGGAGCCTCAGGCCTGGGCCTCCCCCAGGACTTGGATCCTCCTTCCCAGGGAGGCGGGCGCAACCTGGGGCTGGGTTCCTGCAGGACCCTGGGCACCACCTGACAGGGCGAGAAAGTCCCTGCTAATGCACCACAGTGCACAGACCCTTCCTGCCATCCTCACACTGGGATTCTGTTTTAGAGATGAGGAAAGGGGCTGAGAAGGGGGTCCAGTGACTGCTGGGAACCGGCACATTCTAGATCCATACACAAGCCTGGCCGACTCCAGAGCTGGGGCTCTTTCCACAGCGTCCCCCCTCTGCCACCCCCCTCCTGTTTTGGTGGTGCGGCCTCACCAGTAATGGGCCCCAGCAGGAGGAGCTTTCCGCACCCTCTCGCCCCCCTGTCAGACGGTCTCAATGTCTAGGACAGCAGCCCAGGGAAGAGCCAGCCCCATGGCCCTGGCCACGAACCCTCACTCCTTTGCGTGCCAGCCAGCCGTAATACCCACAGCCGTGGGCCTAGCTCAGCTTTGGGCCAGCTGGGCCAGCCTTGGCAAGGGACCTGCAGCTAACACACCCTGTGCTGCTCACCCACCCCAGGCGGAGCCTCTACCTTCCACTACAACCCCAAGGCTCTACAGCCCCACCCCCAAGACAGAAATGGGAGGGGGCCGTAGACGAGAATGAAAGGCAAAACTGGGCAGGAGGAGGTGGGAAAGGGCGCTGCTGTCCCCACAGACAACCCTGGTCTGGTCTCCCCTGCCCCCAAACTTTCCCACCTCCACACCCTTCCTGGTACCCTTCTTCCTGCCTGGCATACCCTTCCAGCCACAGTTCCAAGACCCATCAGAGCATCTATGCCTCCATCCCAAGCAGGTGGAAGGCCATCCCCAGCCCGGAGCTCCACTTGCCCTGCTGGCATTACCCCTTGGCGGGGGGGTGGGGGTGGGGGAGGTCTCCTCTGGAGATTCCTCTCCCCGCCACATACCCCAAGTGCTCCTCCAGGCAGCCCCTTGTAACCCTCTTCTGCATCGCCCAGCTCCGGTCCCCCGTCCCTGCCCCAGAACCACAGCCAGTCACCATCAGGTCCAACCAAAAATCAAAGCACCCAACACCATTCAAAGACGGAGTAGCTTTTGCCTTTACCCAGAGGTTCTTCAGCCTTCTGGGGCTGTAAATAGCCACTTCCCCTAAAGCGTTTAACATATCAGATTTATAAGAAACCGACCACAATTCCAGTCAGAGTCTGGGGAAACTGCTCCCTGGCTTATTTCTGAAGTTGGCTGCCAAAGACCCTTGTTGGGGGGGGGGGGGATTCCAGGGTCCTGTGCCCCAGCTCCCCCTCCATTAGGACACCAGATACCTAGGTAACCAAGTAGGAATGGGCCGTGGGCAGCAAGACCCAGGGCTTATGGGCAGAGAGAAGGATGGGGGCCCCATAATTGGGATCATCTAGCCCTTTCTGACCCTTTTAATACCCTCAGTGGCTCCCCATGGCCCTCAAGAGAAAATCCAGGGTCCTCATTGCCTTCCAAGGCCCTGTGGTAGCTGGCATTTCCCTACCCCAACTCACCCCTCTCACATCAAGACTTCTTTCTTCAGTTAGGTCCAAACACCCTGCCTCCTGGGCTTTGCATATCCTGTTCCCTCCACCTGGGGCACTCCACGCCCACGTGCGCGCATGATTTTCACGTGGCTAACTCTTAAGCATCCTCCACGTCTCAGCCTGGACGTCACTTTTCCAAGAAGCCTTCCCTCAGCCCTCTGGGTTAGGTGCCACCTTTAGGAGGCTGGGCCTCTGTCAGCACAGGTTTAATCACTGCATCACAGCTGCTGTTTCCCCAGCCAGGTTCCCCACTAGACTGCAGGCCCTGGGAGGACAGAGGCCACGCATCACGGTCTCCCTAGTGCCGCACAGAAATATGCTCCGGAAAGACGGGTGGTGTGTGTGAACGGGAGAGTGCAGGCCTGCCTAGAGCAATGCCTCCTACCATCTGCTCTCGAGTTCCTGTACGTGGGTGTGCACGCGTGTGCATATGTCTATGGCCAGGGAAGGTGAAGCCACACCGAGTATTGTCCACCACCACCACCCCCCCACCGCCAAGCGGCTGTATAAAAGTAGCGCTTAATCCACAAATTATTTCCCTTTGCCTTGGGTCTAACTGTCCTCAGGGGCATCCCCAGAAGTGCTTACTGTGTGCCAGGCACTGTGCTGAGCAATTCACGTGCCAATCTGGTTGAATCCTCAGTGTTTCTAGCAGGCAGCCACTGTTCAGCACCTCCACGGTACAGGTGAGGAAACAGGTTCACAGAGCTTCAGCAAGCTGCCCTGGGTCACACAGCCAGGCAGTGGAGAAGCTGGGGTCTGAATGGGGTCGATGGGCCTCGGGAGCTCAAGGCTGAACCATCAGGCAGCACCACCTCTGGTGCATGGTGAGCTGCATGCAGGCTAGAGCCCGGCCGGAGGTGGAGAAGTGGATCTGCTTGGACATCAGGGTGAGAGGGGCTGATAGACTCTCCGGTCCCACTCCTGCTGGGGGATGGCCCAAGTCACACAGGGATGGGGGCGCTGCATCCTGGAGGGTGAGGGTGCCCAGAGAAGGCTGCCTCCCCAGGTTGGAAGGACCGGGTCATGAACAAAGTGGCTGGGGTACTGAGACCACCAGGGTGCTGCCTAAAAGTGGCTGGGGTATTGAGAGGATCAGGACTGGGCAGAGAAAGGGCCAAGTTTCCCGCTCCAGGGAGCCCTCAGCATTTGTTCCCCAGAACACCAAGATCCCCTTCCTGGCCTGCCCCAGGGCCCCAGGACCCCAGGCCCCTTTCTGCCCGGAGTACACCTCCTGCGCCATCCCACCCTGGTTCCGCCTGGCAAGAACACCGGCCTTACTCCTGTTACCACACCGCCGTTCTTCCTTTTCAACAAGGATGCAGGCCGTTTCTGCCATCCCTTTCAAAACTGGCTCAGGCTGCTAACAGGCTGGGCAGGAAACGGCCTGGCTGACCACAGGCATCCAAGTGGTGCAAGCCCAGGGGCTGTCTCGCCAACCAATTCCAGCCCTGCGCCCCCAGGAATTAAAAACCAGCCCCTCCCAGGCCTTGCCCTGGTCGCTGTCCCATTCAGGTGGCCCCAGATCCTCCCAACACCCCGGGGGGGGGGTGCTTTCCTTTGCCCTTTCATATAGGAAACGGGCTCCGAGCAGGAGGGGGCCTGTCCCGGGCCCTCAGCGGCAGGTGCACCTGGCACTACAGCAGATCCTGCTCCCGGAGGCAGAAGAGACCCAGACCGCCTTCCTTCCCCCCCAGCGCTTGCGCCATGACCGCCTTCCTGCCGGCCCTGGCCTCTGCAGTCTGCTCTGCCTGTCCTTCCTCATCCTCCAGGTCTCTCTGGGGCAGGTGCTGTGTGATCTTGCTTAATCTCAACACCTCCTCCTCAGAGTAGGTTTTACTTGTTTCCCATCGTACAGACAGCGACACGGAGGCTCAGGGAGGTTCCGTGCTTTGCCCAAGCTACAGGGAGGAAGGGGTGGGGCCCGGATTCAGACTCTGGCAGCCTGACCGGAGAGCCCCCTTCCACCTCCCAACCAACCAGGCCGGGTCCTGCTGTCCTGCCCTCCCCAGGGCGACCCTGGTGTCCTCTTCTCTTGCTTAACCTCTACGGCCTCCATCTTTGCTGCCATGCCCAGAAGCCAACCTCTGCCTCCCTAGGAATCAGGGAGGGGTCTCGCTCCTCTGGGGGCCCAGTGGAGCAAGGTCCTTTTCCCTCTGGGAGGGGCGCTGGCGGGGGTCCCCGCCCCCTGCCTCCCGAGCCTTGCACAGCACTCCCATGGCGGGGCCCACGGATTCATCCACCCCCCGGCATGGTAAGTGCCTGCCGTAGGCCGGATGGTGGCAAACACGCAACAGCCTGGCCAGTGGGGCTGGCAGTCGGGGGGGGGGGGGACACACCGCGGATGAGGAGACGTGGACAAGGTAAACTAGATGCTGCTGCCATCCTGAGAGTCCAGATGAGAATCGACAGAGAAGGCAGGAGATCAGCCTCAGAGGGGTGGTCGAGAAAGGCCATGGGTGGGGGGAGGGTGGCATCTGAGGGTGACACTGAGGAATGGGTAGAACCAGCCAGGCAGAGTCAGCAGGGCAGAGGGTCTGCAAGGGGTACAAGCTTGTGTGTTTGAGGGACAGGAAGAGGGTAGGATCAGAAGGGGAGGCAGGCGGGGGGGGGGGTAGGAGAGGAGGTCTCTGTGGAAGGGAGCGGCTAGGGAGTGGCAGGCTCGGACCGGACCCCTGCAGGAGAATGGATTGTAGAGGCCAGAGACAGAAGCTGGTGGCCTTGGTGCTGGGAAGGACAATCTGAGATACCATCTTGGGAGGTAGAGTGAAAAGGACAGTCTAGAAGGGACATCAGCCTGGGTGCAGAGACTCTTCCTTTCCAAGGGGGAAGCCCAGAGCGGGCCACAGGCTTGGGAAGGTCTCCCAGCGGGGAGCGGCCAGGCAGGAGGCAGACCTAAGTCTCCTTGGTGGCAGCCCAGGCTCCGCCACCCAGAGCTAGGAGCTGGGTTTCCCGCTTTGGCTGGAACCTGACAAGGTGGCCTGGGGACAGGGCCTGGGAAGGGCTACTTGTGGCGCCGCCCCTGGGGCTGGGGTTGACGGCTTCAGGCTACATAGTCAAGTCAGGGCAAATCCTGGTAGGTGCAGGGGTAAGTGGACAAGGTGACCCTTGGTGACCCCAACACCGGCATTAGGCCTGAAGCTAGAGGGCAGAGAGAAGACCAGGGATGCAGATGCTATCGATGGCCGTCTGCCATGTATTCCAAATGCCACACAGTTGCCCTGGCAACCTCCCGCCAGGCCTGCCTCTAGCCTCATCACTGAGCACTGGGCCAGGGCCAGACAGTGGCCCAGAGGGTCAGCTTTAAGGCTGCAGGGACCACCGTCTCTTGGTTTCCATGTGTCCCAGGAATAACGAACACCGCACCTCCCACTGATTACAGTCCGATGTCCTACTAAGCATGAACGGAATCACTGTGTCTTTTTCAAGTCTGTGCTCCGGAAAGCCAGGACCAAGCGAGTTGAGCTTGGTCCAACCCCCTTACCATACTTGCAGGTAAACCGAGGCAGAGAAAGCCAAACATCCAGTTCACCAGCCCCATGGGGGTGGGCGGATTAGGGATGGACCTCAGTCTGGCCCTCCTGTCAGGCAAGGAGGGCCCAGCCAGGGCCAGCCCTCTCCCACACACCCACGGCGGTGGCTGCCTACTCACCGTGGCCGTCTGCTGCTGTGTGGCCTGGGCCGCAAACCGCGCCACGTGGTTGACGATGGGAGAGAAGTTGGTGGGACCATAGAAACGGATATGGGGCAGGCAAGCCGAGTATGCCTGGGCGATGCCATCCACACCTGCCTCGCGGGGTGGGGGGGGAAAGACTGCATCAGCCTCGGTCCCCCTGACCCTTCACCCACCCTCATCCCATTTGCAGACCCTGCCTCTACTTCATGCTCGCCCCAAATGCCCCTACGGTGGCCAGCGTGGGTCCCGTGAGACCAGAAGCTCCCAGAGGGCAGGGCCAAGATGGTATAAAGCGAAGACCCCTGAATATGGAGTCAGGCAGACCCGAGTTCGAATCCTGCCTTTGCCACTTCCTAGCTGTGGGACCTGAGGCAAGTTGTTTAATCTTTCTGAGCCTGTTTCCCTGTCTGGCAATGGGACTGATAATCTTCGCTCAGGCAGCTGGCCAGAGGAGGGCTCAGCAGGCTCTTCCCAGGGAAGGGACTTGGCAGCCGGCCATCTTGAGGTCCATTCTGGCCATGCTACAGCTTTTGCCGAGGGTTGCTGGGGGTGTGGGGGGGGGGGGCGGGACGGAGATGCTTGTATAGCCCCAGCACACAGTAGGTGCTCCGTAAATGGCCACCATTATGAGAAGACTATCCCACAGCCCCGTGGTCCTATCCAGGAGGCCTCTAGCTGGGGAGGAGGTTGACCGACCTCATTTTGGACAAAGTCTCTGGAGACCTGCTCCAAACTAGACAGAGCCCAGGCGTAGTACCGGCTACATTTCTGGCCAACAGATGCCCATGGCTTCTGAGTCATGGCATCGTTCCCAAGCTGGTGACTTGATGCATTTCCCTTCCAAGTACAAACTGGGCCCAGCTTTGGGAATCCCCAGGGAAGGCAGAGGCTCTATCCAAGCCAAATCCTAGGCTGGAAGGTCTCATGAGGGCGGGGCCCACCCTCCTCCATATCCACCTGGAGCCCCCTTCCTCCTCCAGTAGTCTCTTAACTGATTCTGGAGGCTCAGAAATCCTCTGAGGCCGAGGGGGCGGGGGTGAGCACAGGCACTACTCACTGCCTGCCCCTTTCTCCCCCCCACTCCCACACCAGCAACCCTCAGTCCTCGGTTGCCAAGGCTCTTTGTGGAAGGCAGGAGGGAGCAGCGTGGGGCAGAGCTGGGCCCTTCAGCAAGGGCGGGTCGGAGGTGAGAGACAGGTATATTATATCTGCTGCCCTTGACCACCTCCTGTCCTACACGGGGCTTCCTGTCAACGCTTCCCTTAATTCTCACCTGACCCACCCCTTCAGGTGAGCTAAGCAGGTATCACACTCCCCGTGGCAGGTGAGGAGGCAAAGGCCCAGAGAGAGGCAGTGATCTCTCCCAAGGTCACACAACCAGGAAAGGGCAGCGGCTGGCCTTGCATCCAGGACCACCTGACTCCAACCTCCAGCTCTGCCCCATCTGTCATTAGGAGCAAGCATGAGGGAGAGGGAATGGGAGCACGAGACAAAACCTATATGCTGCCCCTCCCTCCACCCAGGGCAGGTGCAGGCGGGCTTGGCACTCACCTGAGCAGAAGGGGTTGGTGGGGTTGAAGTTGATGGCAAACTCATGGGAGACCTGAAATGTAGAGAAAATGCTGGGCTGGCAGCCTTCTGGGCCCAGGCCCCACCCATGGCCCGGCCAAAGCTCCCTCTGGGGCACCTGGCTTTTCATGCCCCATCCCCACCCCCAGGTCAAGGCTACTGATCCCCTCCCCATCTGCTTTCACCTCCACTGCTGGGGCTGAGCCACACAGAGAGGTCTGACTACTCTCACTCCATAGTGGGTGCACATCACCCCAATCTCTTCTGGGCAGGGGGTCAGTGCTGCCTGTGCCTCCTCATCCCCCTAAGAGAGTCCGGAGTGGGACAGAGGGGCCTCTGGGGGCATCCAGGTGGGCTCCAGGAGCACCTAGACTGCTCCTTTGTCACACACTATCACTGAGGTTCCACTTCTTTGGGCCCCAAGGGCTTTCCCCAACTTCACAGTTGGCACAGCTGCTAGCAAAGGAGCCCACAGTATGCCAGCGAGCCAAACCGGGGGTCAGCGGACAGCCTGCTCAGCCGGACTGGGGGTCAGGAAGCATCATGGGGCCAGACGGGGCTGCCTCCAGCCCCAGCCCTGTGGATCATCCTGCGCACTCCCCGATTGGGGAACACAGAGGAACACTAACTAGACGCTGGGGCTGCAGTAGGACTGCGGTGGCTACAGAACCCAGGGCCTCGGGGGGCTGGAGCTCAGATGGGGGCCTCCCCGCTCTCCCTCCTGCTGCGGTCTCACAGCCAAAATCCCCACTCAGCCCCCCTCCCTACTGCGCGCCAAACCCCACTTTCAGAGCTTTGCAGGCATCCCCTCGCTCCCGGTCATGACTCAGTGGGGAAAGGCCTCTTCCTACCCCATTTCCAGATGATGAGACGGAGACACAGAATGATCTAGAATGTTCCCAGGGTCTCACATTTACTGAAGGACAACGTTGGGACCAGAACCGAGGTCAGGCTGCCTCCTGAGCCCACGTTCCCTGAACTCACTAACCTCAGAAGGTGTTCCTCTCCGTAGGAGGGCTGACTCCATCTTGTGTCTGCACAATGACCTCCTTCGGGGGCTACGTGTTCTAGGCCCCCGGAGGTTAATGTGTGCCCACGTGGGAGTGCAGGTGGGCTTGTTCTCATCTTCTCTGAAGTGGTGCACACAAGGCCCTACTTGAGCTAACCAGCAAAGATGGCAGGCACACAGGGGGCGCCACTTTAGAGCACCACCCTGTGGCCTCACCACCATGCCCCTTGCTCTCTAAAAGTTGTGGCTGGAGGTCCCGCTTGGGTGGGGGAGGGCTGGCCCCCAGTAAATTACCCTGAATTAAATTGTGTCAATGGAGTGGCTGGCTTCATTTTTTGGTCTGAAAGTGGCTTCTTAGTCTGGAGGACATTTACTGACCCTCCTCCATCTTCTCACACTCTCCCATGGGTTTTAAATTAGGAAGATGAAGAGGTTTAGGGGAATGTCTGCCAGGTGAGAGCTTTATTCTGCGCGCAAACACTCCCAGACATTACAATGTGTGTGCTGGAAGGCCCCACCAACTCCAACGTGCCCATTTCACAAGCAAACAAACTGAGGCCCAGAGAGGGAAAGCCAGGTGCCAAGGCCACACAGCAGAACAGGCCTAAGACCTGAGCCCCCCCGTGCCTTGAGAGGGTGTTGGGGTCCTGGCCTTGCTGAACCCTCCTGGGCCAAGAGAGGTGAACTCTCCAGCACAGGGAGTTCACCCCAGCAGGGCCCTAGGGGTGGGGGGGATGGCCTGAGAAGACCCTTCCCTGTTCGGGGCGGGGGGGGGGATAGCTTTTCTGTTCTTTGCTCCCTCAGCCCTAAGGGCTGGCATGGAGCCGGTCCCCTGATGTCCTTCTTGGGTGCTCTCCCTGCCCTGGGGCCCTCTTCACCCTGTTCCCAGTCTGGGCTCCAGGGGGGTGAGGAGGCACAGGCAGCGCTGACCCCCCCCCAGAAGAGATTGGGGTGATGTGCACCCACTGTGGGGGCTGGAGGTCCTCACTGCCATGACAACTTGATGAGCCTCTATAGAGACTAAGAGGGGGGCTTGTACCGAGGGGCTGAGAGAGGAAAATGGTTGCCAAGGAAACCGGCCTCCCTGGGCCAATGACTTCCTGCAAAATCAGGTTTTCAGAGATTTTAGAGACCACGGGGGAAAGCCCCTTCCTGGTAAGGATGGAGCAATATTCTGCTTTCTGGGCCACCCAACCTCTTCATTCCTCACTCCTTCCCCCACCCCCCGCCTTCTCTGCGGGAAGGCCTGGTGGTCCAAGCGAATGGGGCTGTGAAGGTCACGCATCCAGCCCAGAGGCCCCTCGGGTCATATGCTCCAGCAGCTCCACTGCACAGGTGGAAAGACAGGCTCAGAAGAGGCCAGGGAATGCCCGGGTGACACCAGTGAGCCACAGCAGAGCCAGGCCCAGATCTGGGAGACACGGGCGTGTGCCTTACAGCAGCCCAGCCCGCTCCCACGCCTGCTGCCCTGGTTTGCCTGAGAAATGCCAGTAAACAGGACAAGCTTCCTAGGGGCCATAAGCCAGATTAGGGGGCCGCTGGGGACCTGCTGGCCACAGGTCTTTGTCCTGGGACTCCCTGCTGCCTTCTGACAGTCAGTGCTTCCGGTCACCTAGCCGGGCCCCTGGCCTCTGGGTTACTTAAGACGCTGCTCCCTGTGGCCCTGGTGGGGGAGGGCAGGAGGGAGGGAGCTGAAGGGACCCCAGAGGGACTGTCCTCTCCGAGTCTCAGTTACCCCAACCTTACGGTGGGGAGAGTCACAGCCTGTGCTGTGGGCCCAGACCTTTCCTCCCATCCGACCCCTCTCTTCATCAGACCGACTCGGGCTCATTCTGAACGTCCAAGGCTTCATGCCATCTCCTCAAGGAAATGCTTTCTGAGTCCCTCAGCCACTGACCAGGGCAGGGGTCCTTTTTGGGTGCACCTGGCCCAGCCCCAGGGAGGAACGACGGTCCCGAGGGCAAGCAGCTGAGTCGCATGTTCCTTCCGGGTTCCCACCCTCAGAGAACCAACACCTCTGTCTCCTCAGGCTGCTAGGCCCCAAATTCACTCTGTCAACAAACAAGTACACACCCAGTGTGTGCCAGGAGCCAGGACACACACAGGAGGAAACCAGGGGCCCTCCCGGACTGCTGAGCTCTGGAGGGAGGCGACAAATGAGCAAACCCACATATACAGAGGGGACCGTAAAGTTCTGTGAGGACAGAGCCCAGGACGGGAAGAGGGGCCCCCCATGAGCTCCCTCGGGGAAGGCCTCCCAGAGGGAATGCCCTTGTGGCCTCTAGAGTGGGGGGAAAAAAGTGAAAAGGAGTAACAGGCCAGGGGAAGGCCATGTGCAAAGGCCCTGAGGCGGGACTGAATGAGAGAAGGTTCAAGTGGCAGGAGCCAGGCAAGTTAGAAGGGGAGGGAGATGAGGGGCCATGAGGGGCCGGGCCTGGCAGGGGAGGTGGGATGCACCATCCGCCCTCGCCTGGCCTGGCAGCCCTCCTGGCACCACCGGGCACTCCAGCCTGGCCAAGCCCTGTGTTGCCCTGTGACATTTCCAAGGAGGCTTTGAGCAAGAAAACATCTCATTCAGCCAGAGTTCTTTCAAAGCTGGCGGTGTCCTAGCAACGGGTTCCTGCTGGGCCTGGCCGCACCAGCCTGCCCCGCCCCCATTGGCATCGCCGTCTGCCCAGAGGCCCAGCTCTGGTCCTGCAGGATCCTGCCCGCCAGCCCCCCCCCCGCCCCACCATCCGACAGCCGGCAGGCCACAGAGCCACTCCCTGAAATTCGAGGTGAAGATCGTCCCTCCCCAGCTCACTCTGGAGAACAGCATGGGGCACAGCAGGGCAGACGAGAGGGGGCACTAGCTGAGACGCACATGCAGGCTTAGGAGCCCTCTGTGCCCATCCCCAGGCTTCTCACTGGAGGCGGAGCAGATTCTGAGAATAAACTTAAGGGTCCGCTTGCCCCGCTGGAATTAAACATGGCCTTGGGCAAGTCCTGTGAGCCTCTGTTTTTCCGCCCGTAGAATGGACATCACTCCTTCTCTTCATCCCTCCGTCCTGCCCACCCTCACCCCAGCCAGTCCCCACGCAGCAGTCAGAGCGGCCCTTCAAAATGGCAGCTGGCTGAGAACACCCCACCCGGACCCCGCCGTGGCTGCCCTTTGCTGTTTAACATGCATTTGAGGCCCCTGCATGGCTGGCCTCCCAGCCCGCTAGTCGTGGCTCTCTCTATCTTCCCTAGGGAGGCCAGCACGCCCTCTCTCAGTTCCTACACCTGGCCCTGGCCCTCTTCCTCGCAGGCTTTGCCCGGGTTCTCTCTGCTTTGAACACCCTCCCTGCCCCATCACCACCTCTAGTCATTCTGCAAACTTCTCCTTTCCCTTCCCTTCTTGACTTAGACCATGCCTCCTCCAGGAAGCCTTCTCTGCTACCCCCAGGCCGGGTTGGGGCCCTCCTCTGGGCTCCTCCCAGGCCCACGCTGCCCCATCTCTGCACTGATGACCCTGCCTGTCTTTGGGGTTGCCGGACAGAATATAGGATGCCCCGTTACATGTGAATTCCAGATAAACAATGGGTAACTTTTTAATGTAAGTATATCCCAGGCAGTCCTTAGGATATACTTATACTTAAGAAATTCGTTCGTCTGAAATTCAAACTTCACTGGGTGTCCTGGACTTTTGTTGGCCAAATCTGGCACCCTACTTGTCTTCCGCACCTGACTTGAATACCAGGGGACAGAGCCATAACTGTCCCGCTCGTTCTTACGGCCCCAGGGCAGGCGTGAGGTTCAGGCTGAGCCATGAGTGTGGGTTTGGGGTAAATGCAGAGAAGGCAGGGAGGCTGGGCCCCCAGCCTCTTCCAAAGCAGATTCAAGAGAGGCCATACACAGAAATCTCATCTCGACCAAAAGGAAAGAGCCCAGCTCCACTCACCTTCCAGTCTGGGGGTAACTGGGCCCCAAAGCCCAGAGCCGGAAACATCTTATCACTAATACAGAGAGAGGAGAAGAAAACCACTATGAGACAGCAGGGCAGAGGCCTCACCCGCCCACACTCACCCCTCCCAGCCCCCACTCAGGGCTGGGCCCACTCGGCCTCGCACACCTCCAAGGACAGCAGGAAAAAGCTCACCACCTCTGGAAAGAGCTCTCTTTGAATGATCTACTGAGCTCACACCCACCTCTGCGTACCTGGTGAATGTGAGGCTTGACCCCATCTGCACCTGTGGCATACATGGCTAATCAATCACAGCACTTTTAACCAGTGGGCCTGGGTGCAGCAGCATCTAGATCCTTCTCACACTGGGACCTCGGGCATCCACTAAACCACAGTCTTTATGGAAATATACCGCCTGTCTCTCAACCTCCCTTTTGTGGCTGGGAAAAATTTTGAGAACCCTGGCTTAGCTTGAAGACACTTCATCATCCAGCCCTAGAGCCTACTCTCGTCTGCTTCCACACCCTGCCCTCCCTCACAACCCACTGCCCCAGCCCTGGCAACAGACCACTAGCTGTGGCCCAAACACACAGGGCACCCTCACGCTCCAATTTCAATCATGTTGTGCCCTCTCTTAAACTACCTGTCCCCAGTCTGTTCCCTGTGGTAAACTGCTACCCGTCCCCTATGGCCCAATTCAAACGGCCCCTTCTCTCTGTAGGTCTGTCTGAGACCCGAGAATCCCTCTCTCTCTGGTGCTCCTGTAGCTCCTGCTGTACAGGTGAGCTGGTCTCTCAGAACTCCAGGGACTTCTCCCGTCTTCCTCCTCGAGTGGGAGCTCCTGAGGGCGGGGATCGCGTCTCACCTGTTCGTTCCCTCAAGGTGTACCCTGAGGAACCCCCTGGCTGTTGTGCGGAGGACAAACTGCCAGGGGCTAGGACAGACGCATGGAGACCAGTGAGGAGCTCCAGAAGTGATCTGGAGAGGAGGGGAAGGTGGTCTGAACAGGCTGGTAGCAGCGGCGGTGGGAGAAGGGGTGCGACTCCAGTGTTTTGAGAGCGGGGGAGATGAGGGAAGGAGAAAGGGAAGGGTTTGGGGTGAGTGGTGGTGCCTCTCACTGAGATGGGGACGAGCACTCACTGGGGCCTTCCTTGCTAGGTCTGAATGCCCGTGAGAAGGCTCAGTGAGGGACCGAGTGGGCAGCTGGATACAAGGGACTCCTGAGCGGCCACAGGAGGCTCCTCCACCCAACCATGCAGATGGGGGCTTTCACCTCCCTTCCCCCGTGTGCTGTACCTCTCTTAATGTGACCAGGGATCCCAGCCACACCCCTCAGGCCCTGGGAGTCAGACCCTGCTCGTCAGGCTGCCTCTCTTAAGGAGGCCAAGTGCGCAGGATTCGTGAGCCTGCTGTTCCTGCCAAATCTCTGGCCCCTGTACCTTCCTTCCTGGTCTCCCGATCCTTTCACCCGCTGGCCTAGGAGTCCCAGTAAGCTCCACCCGTGGCAATGATGCCAAAACCTTCAAGTGACTTTGGATCCTCCCGGGCCATACCCCCTACACAGCCTTCCGCCACTGACCTTCCGCTGCGCCCCCGACCCCCAACCCAAAGACCTCCAGGAAGCAGGGTCATGGGAAGCGGGCCCACACCTGCCGGCTGCTCCCTCCACGTTCCCAGCGGGAGTGAGACTATTGGGACACTGGGTGTCGGGCCCAGGCATCAGAATGCCTGCAGACTAGTCCCCCTGATCTGTTTGACTTTGGATCACTTCTCTACCTGCATCCCCAGCCTACACTTCCCCAGCTCTAAAAGGGAAAGTTGCAATGATAGCAAACAAGTTTCATTTTCCGTCTTGATTCGTTTTTCTTACTGGCTACTTGGTGTATCATGTGGAGGAGAATTCCAGCGTGGACCCAGCTCAGTAGGGAAGAGGTCAGCAATCGACTAGCAATGTCTGCCACAGGTGTAGGAGGGGGCAATAAGGCACATGTACCATGTGTCGGCCATTCCCAGGTTTGAGGATCTTTGGGTCCCTTCCAGCTCCGACAAGCTGAGCTTCCCGGTTGGATGGAGCCGGAGCTGGTTCCAGAGTCCCCCCTCAGGCTTACCTGTCGTAGTCCTGAATGATCTGCCCGACAGCCCAGATGGCCGACAGATACTCGTTGGTGCCCATGGGGTTGATATAGTGCAAAGAGGAAGGGTCAAGGGGATTCCCGTTGGAGGCTGTGAAGTCTATGCCAACCTGTAGAGTGGGGAGAGAAAGGCCACCCAGGGTGGCCAGAGAGGCTCCAGCTCCCCAGCTCATCCCAGGGAACAAATGGGACATGGGAAGTCACTCATCTCCCAGTGCCAACCCACCCTTCCATAAGATGGTCTGAAACCAAGAAACTGACCGTGTCACTCCTTTGGCTCCAACGCCATCAGTGGGTCCCTACTGCCCCAGCATGAAGTCTACTGACAAAGTCAACGCACACTCCCAAATTCCTTTGTCCCCCTCACTGTCATGACCCACACACTCCTCTGTTTCCATTTCCAGGCCTTTATTCATGAGGTTCCCTCTACCTCAAGAGCCAGGCCATCTCTTCTCCCTCTCTCATTCTCCTCTAACATTCAGGCCCAATTCAGAGGTCCCTGCCCCACTGAAGCCTTCCCAGACACCTCAACCTCACCCCAAGCCACACTGTCCCTCAGGCCCCCAAGGGGCTCTGGGACCTGGGGCTGCCTGGTAGGCCAGTGCCCATCTGCCCAGAGTGTGTGCTCACTGTAGGCAAGACACGTGCCCCCAGAGCCGGGTCCAGGGCGAGGCAGAGAGCACCAGAGAAGGTGCTCCACAGGGCCTGAAGCTGAGATCTGCTCTCTCAGACCCCAGAAAACTCCAGCCCAGCCCCTGGAGGGGTAGCACCGGCGGGTAGGGGGGCAAGCCTGCCCAGCAGGGGAGGGTTAGGAGACGGATCTAGGGAGACAGATGGCCACCTTGGAACTTGGTCATGTGGGGTGGGTCTGGCACAGAGGAGGTGCTCGGTATCCGTTTGTTAAATGAACATGCACACACATGCAGAAGGAACGGGAGAGCCCAGCCTCTCGGAGTGAGGGGGGAGTGGTGACCAGTGGGGTTAGAGGTCAACAAGGCCAATCCCCTGACTCCGTAGAGTCGCGCAGGTGACCTCCAGTCCCATGGGATCTAAAAGTGGTGGCAAGGCGGGGAGGTGGGCAGAGCACGGGACCCAGCACCTCCTTCCCCTGGGCCGGAGGTCCCCTTCAAGTGAGGAGCATCAGACCAGATGAGCGGCTCGAGTCTGGGGGGCATACACTCCAGGCCATGGACAGAGGGACAATTCGTTTACCCAACACTTACTATGTGCCAGGCACTGAGTGATTTGCTGAGGTTGGCACACAAACAAAACAAAGTCCCCGCACTTGGGGCACTCACAGTCCTCGGGGTGGGACAAACAGGGACAATAGAAAGATACTTAAATAACTTCAGAGTGGTCAAGTGTTCTGAAGACCACAAAGTAGGGGAAGTGACAAGGACGGACAGGAGGGTGTCAGGGGAGGTGTCCCTGAGGAGGTGACCTCTATGCCATGGCCCGAAGGGATGGCAGGGCAGCAGCTGTGAGAAGGTTCTGGAAGGAGCGTTCCAGATAAAGGAAACAGCAGATGCAAAGCGCTCAGACAGAAAGGCGCTTGGCATCTTGGGGCAACAGTGAGGACCCGTGTGGATGGAACTGAGTGAGCAAACAGGAGGGGTAGCAGAGGACACAGGAAGGCCTTCTGACGGGCAGGGAGGAATTTTGGCTTTTTTTTCTCTCTGCAGGGGTGTAGCCAGCAACACTCTGAGGGCTGGGCAGCCAGGCCCCGACCTACAGCTAAGCCCTGACTCAGGCTCAGCCACCTATGCCCTCTCCTCTGGGCCAGACACTCCCCTTGCCCTCGGGAAGTCCTTCCTGAAGTTTATCCCCCAGTCCGTCCGGAGGGAGGGAGCCTTACAGTGAACATGAGCTGGCAGCCTCCCAGGATGTAGTCCAGGAAGGAGTAGTCCCGGTTTATCTGGAAGGAATCAGAATCAGGGGAGTCAGTGGGTCCCTGGCCTGCACCTGAGGGCCGGCCCTCCACCTGGCCATAGTTCCCAGGGGGAGCTGGGGGGCTGACTGCTCTGTGCCCCGAAGCCCGAGTAGAGTCAAGGAGGCCAAGGGAAGACCCGGGCTGATTACAACCAAACCCGAATCTCTCTATAACAAAGCGCTCAGAGCAACAGTTCCAGTGGGACACGCATACACGCGCGCGCGCACGCGTGCTCCTTCCAGGCAGGGTCCCTGGGCCTAGTGTCCGTTGTACCTACCAATTACACAGCAGAGAAAGTCTCAATTTGTTGCTGTTCAGTCCTTAAGCCCTCTTTGGCCCTGACGGACCTCCGCCCTGAGCAGAGAAAGACCAGGCCTCCGGCCCAAGGCCTTCTGCTATAATCAAGCTGCTAACACCCCGTGTTTGTTTTGATGGCCTTTTGCTCCTCTGGCGAAGGTAGTTACTGGCCTTCCTATTTGGGTGGAGTTATAAGGGGGTTCCTTTCAAAATAAATGTATTGAAGAAAAAAAAAAAAAAGAAAAAAACCAAGAATGGGGGGTAAAGAAGGGCTGATCACAAAAAGTAGTAAGCAAGGCGGGTGGCAAAAATCATGGAGGGGAGTACGAGTGACAGAAGTTTCAGGAACAAGGACCCCATGCCACCAGCTGCCAGCTTAGCTTTCCCAGGGCGCTTTGGTGTCGTGACCTCACAGAGCAAGGAGTCGTGGAAGCCCCCGCCAGACTGCGCAGTCTCCAGACCAGGCCACAGAGGCCCGGGGGCCGGGGCGCTGCCAGGCTGCACAGGGAGGATGCCGGGACTTACCCGGACCTTCAGGCCCAGTGTCCAGGCCGTTCGCTGCCTGGGCCTAGGCTGCCTTCCTGAGCACCCTGCCCGATTCCAGCAGATGCCGGCTCCTGGGCATCCAGGGGCGGCCCTGACCACCGCTGCTGTGAACTTCATTCCCTTTCCGAGCCTCAGAGGCCCCAGCGGCCCCAGCTGCACCACGGGAGTCACAGTGACCTGAGCCCTCGATGATGTTGCTGGGCCCCCGCCAGATGTCCCTCTGCCCGTAGGGTGCCAGACACGCAACGGGCAAGCCGCCAGCACGGGAAGCAGGTACCTTCCAACCAGGAGAGGCCCTGGAAGGTCATCTCATGCCCTCCTGGACCTCCTTATATCCCAGGAATATGATATGAGACGAACCCTTCACCTTTGTTTTTTACCTTGTTAACATCCCCATTCTACAGATGAGGGGACTGAGGCCCAGAGAGGTTAAGCTCAGCAGATCCCAGAGTCAGGATGCGGCAGAACCAGGATTTGAATCCAGGCCCTGCTGGCTCCAAACCCAGTGCTCTGTCTATCCCTTCTGCAGTGATGGGATATGATCCCTCCAACTGGGCCCCTGCTCTGGGCCCACCCCCGCTGGCTCACCTCGCAGGAACGCAGGATAATGATGCCCGAGTTTTTATAGTTCTTCTTCTTCCTTTGCTTCTTGGGGTTGATGCACTCAAACTCCAGCTGGACAACGTAAGAGAAAGAGAAGCTCAGCCTGGGGCTTCCCTGGGGGACTGACCCTCTCCTGAGCCCCAGGATTCCCTCCACAGTCCTGATCGGGGGGTAGCATGCCTCCTCCAGGAAGCCTTCCTAGATGTCCACACCCAGACAGTTTCTGGTTACCTCAGGCTCACACCAAGCTGTGCTTGCCCAAGGTAGGAGGACCTGCATCTGTTTCCCACCCCAGATGTTGACTCATCTACACCATGTCCACTCATATACCCAGAACCATCACCCAGGGCCCAGCTTCTTGTGGTAAGTTCATTTAACAGCTCTTGAGTGCTCCCCACGTGCTAGGCACTTTACCAGGATCATCTCATTCATTTCCCAGTCTCCCCCTCTGCCCCATTTGACAGATGGGGAAGCTGAGGCTCAGAGAAACTGGATGTCTTACTGAAGGTCATAGAGCCAGAGAGGTGGGATCTGAGCCCCAGCCTGCCCAATTCTAAGCCCGTGTCCCTCACCCGTCCCCTGCTGAGGTTTCAGGGTCACACACACAGGCCCATCTCACCGGGACGCCATCACGAGCCTCACACATCTGCGACACCGACGTCTGGAACTCGCCGATGAAGTCATGGCCCCCGTCATTGTCATAGTCGTAGCACATGACCTGGGGTGGGTCCACTGAGGTCACCCCAGAGCAGCCCCCAAGGAGGTGCTCTCTGGCCCCTCTCAGCCACCTGAGCAAACCCCAGGTCTTCCTTTTGCTGGTGCCTCCCCCTGTTCTCCAGCATCTGCCTTGCTGGCCTGGGATGATGCCGTGAGCTCCTGAACCGCCTCCCGCAGGAAGCCTTCCATGATTACTGGAAAAAGGAGCACCCCAGCAATGGAGGCTGTACACTCTGGAGCAGGAAGCTCGACCCCCACATCCCTGTCACTCGGCTTCTCAGCTGTCTGGGGCTGTGGCCCACCTCTCTTGGCGGGCCATGGCCTGGGGCCCTCCCCAGGGGCATTCCCTAGGGCGACCCTGGACATGCCTCTTGTCTCCCTAGACTGTTCCTTTCCTTGAGATAGGCACAAAAAATCCCAGCTTTCCATGCTCGCTCATCTAGCTGCCAGTCCTAGGAAGAAGGCAGGAATTATCATACCCATTCCACTGACGGATAAGCTGAGGCCTCGAGAGGGAAGCCCTTGTCCGAAGTCTCACAGCTGCAGCAGCAGACCCAGAACTAGAATTTAGGTTTCCTAGTACCCTGTTCAGGGATCCCTGCCCCGGCCTCGCTCATTCCGTCTCCCCCATCTGCTCTCAGTCACCGCGCCTGGGGACTGAGGTTCTGTAGCGCCCAGTAGTCACTGTCCTCATCACAGTGACAACCCTCGGTCGCTTGCACACCTGCTGTCCCAGGTGGCAGTGCTGCAGCCCTCTGGCAAGAGCCGGGCAGTCATTCTGTTCCTGTTTCAGGAAGGGCTCACGGAGACGGGGGCCTTGCCCAGATGGCTCAGAGGGTCAGGCACATGTGAGACCAGAGCCGAGGTTCCCTGTCTCTCCCCCTACCTAGGCTTGCTTTTCCATCTTAATAAGAAAGAGCTTGGCCAGGGCATCCCCAGCAAGGCTGGGGGGACCTAGGAGGCTGGACCTGGCAGGGTGGGGCACAGGGCTCCCCGAGCCCGAGCCCCCTCACCTGGATGGGCTTCTCCACGTCCCCATCACACAGGGATACCAATGGTACAGTGAATGGTTTCCACACAGGGTCCAGCGTGTACTTGATCACCTGCAGCACAGGGAGGGCCAAGGCTGAGTGTAGGTCCAGGGCAGCAGTGCTCTGGGCTTGGGCCAGTCTGATGGGGGTGGCAAGGCAGAAAGGCCCACAGCCACGCTCCTGGGGATGGCGTGAGCATCCCTGTGGCAGGAAGGGAGCAAGTCCTTGAGGCGCCACGGTGGCTTTTCCCATTCCCTGCACGGCAGTGACCTCACAGCCCTGTCCTGAGACACGGGGGGGGGGGGAGGGAGAGGGATGGTCGGACTACAGACCCACTGGCTTAGAGACCCCCAGAGCCCCGTGCACCCACCTCAGTCCTGTGAACCAGCATCCACTTGCCATCATCTCCTGGTTTATAAAACTCAAGAAATGGGTCTGACTTTCCGAAGAGGTCCTGGAGGAAGCAGGCGGATGCAGGTGAGGGAAGCATGGCTCTACCAGATTCAGAGGAGGCAGTGGCGGGGGCTGGGGGGGGGGAGCTGCCTCCTCCAACCCCGCATCAGGGGTGGGAGCTGTGGGCAGAGCCAGCCCCCTGGGGCCAACCAGCTCCCGCAGGAGAAACTGCCCCATCCTGGGGTTACCAAAGGCTGTGCTCAGAGACCCTGAGACCTGGAGCCTGCAGGCACTATAACTTAGATGGGACAGGGCTTCAAAAGGGTGATCGATGCCCGCAGCAGGATGTGATTTTATTTTAGTGGGGATTTGAAAAACTGAAATTATCCCAGCACGTCACAGAAGGGATAGGATGTCCTTAATTTTATTATTATTTTTAAAGATTTTATTTATTCATTTGACAGACGGAGAGCGTGCGCAAGCAGGGGGAGTGGCAGGCAGAGGGAGAGGGAGAAGCAGGCTCCCTGCTAAGCAGGGAGCCCAATATGGCGCTCGGTCCCAGGACCCCGGGATCATGACCTGAGCCAAAGGCAGATGCTTAACGACTGAGCCACCGAGGAGCCCCGCATGTCCTTTAAAAATCCATTTATTTAAGTTAAAAAAAAAAGTGTCAGGAGGGGCTGCCAGGTGGCTCAGTCGGTTAGGTGTCTGCCTTTGGCTCGGGTCATGATCCCAGGGTCCTGGGATCGAGTCCCGCATCAGGCTCCTTGCTCAGTGGGGAGCCTGCTTCTCCTTCTCCCTGTGCCCCTCCCCCTGCTTGTGCTCGTTCTCAAATAAATAAAAATAAAATCTTAAAAAAAAAAAAAGAGTGTCGGGCGCCTGGGTGGCTCAGATGGTTAAGCCTCTGCCTTCAGCTCAGGTCATGATCCCAGGGTCCTGGGATCAAGTCCCGCATCGGGCTCCCTGCTCCTTGGGAGCCTGCTTCTCCCTCTGCCTCTCTCTCTCCCTCTGTCTCTCATGAATAAATAAATAAAATCTTAAAAAAAAAAAAAAAAAGAGTGTCAGGGAATATTCAGGGAAAAGAACATCCCAGGCAGAGGGAATAGCAAGTGCAAAGGTCCTGAGGCAGGAGGGTGCCTGGTGCAATCCTGAGACAATGAGGAAGCTGATTTGGCTGAGGCAGAATGAAGGTGGGAAGAGCAGAGGGGGTGAGGTCTGAGACAGGGAGTCCCCAGGAGTGGTTTCCAGTTATGTCTTGAACACCTCTAAATAATGGCAAACTCATTACCTCAGTGGTAAGGAGGTCCGAATTTGCTATGGACTTGTGCCTGGGGGGGGCGGCGGTGAAGGTGCTGGCCGGAAGCACCAGGACTAGGCCCCACAACCCTGGGCTGGGGGAGGGATACTGCTCCCTGATGGAGAACCCCCCTTCTCGCCTGCCTCACCTTCTTGTCCAGCTTCCTGCCCGCCAGACTCAGTGTGATGACCTGGTTGTCCGACAGCTCCTGGGCGGCGACCTGCGAGGCCGGGGGATGTGAGGGTTGGGACCTGCCCCTGTGACTCCCCCTGGCGTCCTGCCAGGCAGTGAGCACGGGTACCCAGGGCTCAGCTCTCCGGGCCGGGAGGGGGGAAAGGAGAGGAGGGATAGTGCCGGGCGACCCTGGACGTGCCTCTCGTCTTCTCAAAACCTCCATGTCTAGCTTCTGGAAAATGGGGTAACCCATGTGAATCTGAGGGATCAGAAGTGACCCCATGTGGCTCGAGAGGGGAGGCCCTGTGAAACAGTTACCAGATATGAGGGGTGGTCTCGAGCCCAGGGCAGAGCTTCTGGCCAGGGAGCAGCTCGATAGGGCCCCTTGGGCCCCCACTGCAGACCCCGGGAGCATAGCCACCTCAAAACGCCAAGGCATGGGGGCATTCCAGGAACTTCACTGTGCAGCCAAGGAAACTGAGGCCCAGGGCAGGGACAGGAGTCACCTGAGCTCCCTGTGCTGTTGTCAGCTCATACTGTCATCTGTCTTCCGTGCCTTCGCCCTCAGCCATGGCCCTCTGGCTCCAACCCAGCCAGCGATGGACCAGCTGAGCGACCTTGGGGCCACCTTTGCCCTCTCCGGGTCTCTGTCTCCCCCTCCCCACAGAGGGGCAGGGAAAGCCCTCGGGCCAACAGCAACACAAGTGGGCTGGGGCCTCTCTCTGCTAGGGCTACCTCTTCCCTCACACCTGTAGGACAGCCTCACCTACAAGCTAATGGACCCTCTAAAACCCCACACAGAGCTAGGCGGGATGCTAGGCTTCCTTTCCTTTCCTTTCCTCCACCAGAGACTTGCTCAACAACCTTGCAAGGTAGATCCTATTATTGCCCCCATTCCACAGAAGGACCTGAGATCTGGAGTGGCACCGTGGCAATGCTGAGGGGGACAGTCTCCCAGTTCGGGGGGGGGGGAGAAGCGGGAGCCGCTGGGTTGGCTTCCAGGTGGAGGGGAGCTGGCTAGTGAAGGTATACAGATGGTACATAGATGGGGAGGTTCTGAACCCCAAGAGGTGGCGGGGGGTAGGTTGGGAGGGAACATTCCAGGTGGCAGGAACAGTAGATGAAGATCTGGGATATGTGTGGTATGCTAAGAATTCAGTTTGCCTGGAACCCAGAGTATGTACACAAAGGAAAGCAAGGTGGGGTTCGTCACAGCCTTGAAAGCAAAGCTCCAGGGGCAGTGGGGAGCGGGGGAGGCTCCAGAGCAGGGGGGTGACTACATATGAGCACATACAGCTTCGGCCTCCTCCGTCCAGCCGGCCATCAGGCCAGTTCCTCCTGCAGCACACGGGCTCTGAACGGGGACAATCCAGGGGGGGGGGGCTCACTAGCCTAACTGCCCCAGGGCATTGCCTCTCTGGGCTCCAAGTCCCTCCTCTGTAAAATGGGTTTCCCTGCCTTGGAGGAGTCTTCGAGGACCCAGGACTCGTCCGCACAAAGGGCCTGCGTCAGGCTGGGATCACTGCGCACTGTAACCCTGTAACGGTAAACAGAGCTCCGCGGGCAAGGCGCTTCTCAAAGACCCCCTAGCGAGGGCAGGCAGGGGCCAGGCGGGGAGGGCATGCTGGGAGGGCTGCGGTGACCTTCAGGGACTGGGAGGAGGAGGCCACCAGGGCCTCTGGCAAGCCCCCTACTACCAGCTTGGCGGCCCCCAACGCATCATATGTGGTGCCAAGAGCCCGTTGCTAAGAGACCTGTTGCTAAGTTGTAAGTTGGGCCTTTTTACTCCAAACAAAGCTGGTGATTATCTGCCAGGGAAACAGCCCATTGATGGGGGAGGGACTCGGGCAGAGGCGGAGGGGTGCGGGAGAGCAGGGAGGGGGCTGGTACCGTAATCAAGCCCTTTCCTGCAGGCTTGTCATTCATTAGCAGCAGAGGCCGAGTGATCTTCTTGCTGGAGACGATCTGGGGGGGCGGGAGAGAGGAGAGTGGTGCTCCTGAGGGTTGGTGGGGAGGAGAAATGCCCAACAGCCACCACTCACAGCACGCGGCTCCATGCGGGTGCTGGCTACACCCCCCCCCCCCCCCCCCCCCCCCCCCCCCCCCCCCCCGCGTGACTGTCCTCCCAGGGAGCAGCCAGCAACCGTCGTTAACCCCACTGGGCAGCGAAGGAGACAGAGGCCCAGAGGGGTTAAGACACTTGCCCGAGGGCCCACAGCTGGTGTGGAATCCCCCAGTCGTACCCCCACTGACCTGCTTGCCCCCAGGCAAAGGCTCTTGCCAAGGGTCACCTTCCGAGGCACCTGCAGGGAGTCTGCAGGGAGTCGAGCCCCCTCACAGCCTCCCCTAAAGCCATCTACAGATACCGCCCCCACCCACAGGGTGTGATCCCTGATGGAGAAGATCAAATCCTGACTCCTCTTCTATTTTCATGCTCTGAATAGGGAAGACGTTCACACAGCGCTCAGCCATCAAGACCATATAGACAGGGAAAGCAGAACACACTGTAAAGCTGCCCTCCACCATCTCTGTACACCCCATTCCCACGCTTTTCGGGGGCCACCCTGGTTCTCGGCCTCTTGGGGGAAATGCCAGTGTTTGTGATCATCTGTGCACGGTCCTATCCACCCCCATGCTGGTTTTCCTCCCTAGCCCACTTTCGCCCTTCACCACCTGCTCTGGGCCCTGGTGGCCTTCACCGCCGGCACCCCTGTCCTGCCGGTGCAGCCACTGGGGGCGTCCAAGGTCACCGGAAGACCAGGAGCAGAGAAAGGCCGTTTGGCACACGCGACCCTCCGCGGGGGGCCTTCGCTCTGGTCCAGAGGCCTCCCCACCCCCACCCTGTGGCCGCAGCTCTCCCCAGGCCCTGGCCACCGGCTGCCAGCCCTGCCCCTCTCTCCTGGCCAGGGGCGGTCGCTCACCCTGCAGCTCCCTTCCGTTACCCCTGGAAGGAGGGGACCCCAGGCCGGAATCCCAAGACATGCCCTGCTTCTCTCACAGCAGCGGGCCCAGGCTTGGTCCATCCCTTCTCCTGGAAAGTCCAGGCCATTTCAGTGTGCACACTTCCTCCACCATCACTGTGGCCAGGCGGTCATCATTAGCCCCCAGTGAGATGGGGGGAGGGGAGGCGGAGGCCCAGGAGGGGGCGGGGCTCGGCCAAGGGCACACAGCCATAAGGGTGGTTGGAACTGGTGCGAGGACCTCCATATGCTCACCAAGGACGAGCTGGATGGGGGGAGTGTGGCCCGAAGTGGGAAAGGAAGTTGCCCAAGTTTACACAGTAAGCCAGCCACCAAAACGGACTCCCATGGGTGCCCTGTTTGCTGGTCAGATGCTCCTGCACCAGAAGTGAAGACCACATCTGATTTACTTCTAACAGTCAGAAGTTCTGGCCACACAGTGTCCCCATTCCTCTGTGGCAACAGCTTGCTGACACTGCTGTGGGAACTCTCCAGCCTGCCCCCAAAGGCTACTCACCCCCTTTTGTACCTGCTGGCCCCCAAGGCTATCTGCATTTTCAACGCTACCTTGGAAGCCAGCCAGGAAGACGAACTAGGGAAAGCAAGCCGCAGAAGAGACCTGCTCCAAGGCACTGCCCCGTCCTTGGGAGCAGCGTGATGGCGGGCGTGGGCACTGCCTTGCCCTTGGCCCCCTGGAGGGGCCCAGCTTACCGTGCCCAGGCTGCAGGAGAACTGGCCCAGGAAATCATGCTCTTCCAGCTGTGTGCTGGACTTGTCCTGGTCGAACAGGGCGAACTTGAGCTTCTGCACTTCCTCGAAGTGGTAGTCAAGGACGAACTTCTTGGAGAACGCGGGGTTGAGGTTGTTGACCGCGGTTTCCGTCCTGTCATACTAGCAGAGGGTCAGGGAGACAGGACCCGGGGTCAGGCAGCTGGTTCAAGCCTTGTCAGGCTGCCTGGAATCATTCTGCGAACTGGCTGAACACCTACTCATGGCCAGTTACCACTCCCAGCTCACAGATGAGGACGCTGATGCACAGAGAGGTTAAGGGACTTACCCAGGGTTGAACAGTTAGAGGGGCAGTGTCAAGACCTGAACCCAGGTCTGACTCTAGCGCTGACACTCTGAACTCTTTGGCCCGGGCGCCATACCAGGAGCCAGGGCAAGAGCTCGAGGTGTGTCTCTGCCTAGGTAAGTGACAGACAGCAAGTCCCTTTTCCTCTCAGGGCCTCAGTTTCCAGTTCCGTAAAACGACGGGATTTGACTATCAGTGGTTTCCATCCTTTTTCTCTTGGAAGAACCCTTTTTCCAAACCACATTTCACATGGAAGCTGAGAGAACAGAAAAAAGGAGGGGTCCGTGGGGGCAGGTGGGGGCAGATGTTTGTAGCTGGGCCTTGTGCAGCCCAACACCCCCCACCTACTATGGAAACCAAGGCCGGGGGAAAGGCTGGGCCTCGTATTGTGGGTCAGGGCTGGGGCTGGGACAGGAACCCCGCCTCCTGGCCTCTCTGCACGGGGCCCCAAACCGCGGAGTCCGGGTCATGGTCTATTTTGGGGCCCGGGTTATGTTGATTTTTCCTCCCACCCAGTCCATTTCCAAAGGCTAGAGGAGCAGGGATGGAAGAGGTCTTGGCCCTGGGCTATTTTTAGCAAGGGTGGCCAGCCTGGGTGAGAGAGAGATTGTCTGGGGGGTGGGGGTGGGGGGGTGTGTGTGCCGTGAGTGAGGGTGGGGTGTAGTGGGGAGGACACTGTTCCCTGAGGGGTAGGTGGGGGCTCCAGAGACCTGGCAGAGGGGACCAGGATGCTCCAGGCACACTGGCTTCAGTCCCTGGCTGACCCCACGTCCCACCTCCCGCTTCTGGCTGGGCACTGAGTGACACAGAGGAGTCTCTACCCATTCCGGGGCCCTAGCTTTCCCTCCGTAAAATGGGTCAACAACCTCAGCACCATTTCCTTGGCATCATAAGAAGGAGCCAACACCTGTGGAAACTCTTTGTAAACCACAGTATGTTCAGTGGTCTGTCCACTGTGGCTCAGTTGAAGAACTATTAAAAATAGATACATAGTTTGGAAATTTTACTTGCATATAAAACCACCTCAAAGGGGACGCCTGGGTGGCTCAGTCGTTAAGTGTCTGCCTTCGGCTCAGGTCATGATCCCAGGGTTCTGGGATTGAGCCCCGCGTCAGGCTCCCTGCTCTGCGGGAGGCCTGCTTCTCCCTCTCCTGCTCCCCCTGCTTGTGTTCCCTCTCTCGCTGTGTCTCTCTCTGTCAAATAAATAAAATCTTAAAAAAAAAAAAAAAAAAAAACCTCAAAGGCCGGATACCAAACCGTTAACAGTGGTTCTCCCTGACACGCAGGTTTCCCACTGTTGTTTTCTTTAGGTTTCTCTTTTCTAAATATACTACAATGAACACAGACCCCTTTTAAAGTAAAAACAAAGCAACTTATAGAACTTGAAAGTGTTAATAGTTTGGATTTCTCAAAATCCTTCCTCAAGCTGCATCTCTCCCTAGCCCTCAGGCTCAGAAGTCCTTGGCACCGTCCACATCCCTAGTTCTGGGGCTCTGCAAGGGAGACAGGGGGAAAAAAATCCTCATTTCAGAGATAAGGAGACAGGTTCAGAGAAGGACAGCCACTTGCCCAAGGCCACACAGCAGGGAGTGACAGACCTGGGTCTTGCTCCAGCTCTGGGACCAAAGCCTGAGTTCCCCATTTCTCTGTCTGCTCCTCACTGACTGTGCGTTCATTTAGGAGTAAATGTGGAAAGTTATTTTAAAAATGGAAGCAGGCATTTTGTAAAACTCTAAGGTTTTAACTATATATTATAGTAATTAAAAATATTGCAATATATGGGGTGCCTGGGTGGCTCAGTCATTAAGCGTCTGCCTTCGGCTCAGGTCATGGTCCCAGGGTCCTGGGATCGAGCCCCGCATCAGGCTCCCTGCTCAGTGGGGAGTCTGCTTCTCCCTCTCCCACTCCCCCTGCTTGTGTTCCTTCTCTCACCGTGTCTCTCTCTGTCAAATAAATAAAAATAAAATAAAATATATTGCAATATAAAACAATATAATTATAAATCTCGTAATCATAATAGCTTAAACACAAATATTATTTTAAGTAGTTATATACATACATTTTATTTATTTTTTAAAAATTTTATTTATTGGGGCGCCTGGGTGGCTCAGATGGTTGGGCGTCTGCCTTCGGCTCGGGTCATGATCCCAGGGTCCTGGGATCAAGGCCCGCATTGGGCTCCCTGCTTGGTGGGGAGCCTGCTTCTCCCTCTGCCTGCCGCTGCCCCTGCTTGTGGTCGCTCTCTCTCTCTCTTTCTCTGACAAATAAATCAGTAAAATCTTTAAAAAATAATAATAAAATAAAATTTTATTTATTTAAATAATTTCTACACCCCATGGGGGGCTTGAACTCATGACCTTTCCAAGATCAAGAGCCGCATGCTCCTCTGACTGCGCCAGCCAGGTGCCCCTAAATACATTTTAAATAAAATTTAATTTTCTTTTTTAAGTAGGCTCCATGTCCAACGTGGTGCTTGAACTCACGACCCCGAGATCAAGAGTCACATGCTCCACCGACTGAGCCAGCCAGGTGCGCTCTAAAATTTTATTTTAAAAGCTAACATCTTCGGGCGCCTGGGTGGCTCAGTCGTTAAGCGTCTGCCTTCGGCTCAGGTCATGATCCCAGGGTCCTGGGATCGAGTCCCACATCGGGCTCCCTGCTCAGCGGGAAGCCTGCTTCTCCCTCTCCCACTCCCCCTGCTTGTGTTCCTGCTCTCGCTGTCTCTCTCTCTCTGTCAAATAAATAAATAAAATCTTTAAAAAAAATAAATAAATAAATAAAAGCTAACATCTTCTAAGTAATCCCTGTCGCACCCTCCAACTCCCTCCAAGGGCATAACCTGGAGGTCCCAGGATCCAGTGGGAGTCCCTCCCCAGCAACCTAGCCACGCCACACCTACCCCAGACGCACAAGGAGGGCTCTCACCTCAATCCACCTGCCGTCGCTCTCTGTAAAGAGGACACAGAAGGGGTCAGACTTGGAGGTCACATCCCGGTCCAGCAGGTTCTGGCCACTCACTGACAGCTCCACCTTGCACACGCAATACTGAGAGCCCACGGGTGCCACCCCCGCGGCCGGGGCGCCCCCACTAGGGATGTAGGCCATGGGGGTTGGTGGTGGTGGCAGCAGTTCCTGGCGGTCTAGGGGGATAGAAGTGGGGGTCAGAGAGGGTACAGACATGGGGCTGTACCACCCCACCCTGAGGAGGTGTCACCCCCTGACCTTCGAGATGGGGGTAGAGAGATGGAAGGACAGGTGTGTTGATGCCAGGATGACAAAGGCACAAGCTTGACAAGAGGAGAATGAAGAAAAATGAGTCTCTGGTGGGCATGTTTAGTCCGAAGTTATTATCTGTGTTGGTCAATCTTTACCTATGAGACACGCACAAGGCCAAGTCGCCCCTGTCAGATTAGTGACAGATCACAGTGGACATGCGCATCTAAGACACTCATTTTGCCAGGAAAACCTGGGCTTCTCCTGGGCGATTAATATTTTGGCATCTTGTGGCTAGAGTGGAGCTTATGATAGCTCGGGTTTCCCTCTTTGCTTTGGCCACTAGGAAGCTCAATCTTGATAACTTATCCGAAATTTGACCTTGTTCATTGCAGCCTCGTTCATCTTGTGCGTCCTGGGCCTAAGCACAGTGACTGATGCACAAGGTGTATGCTTGCTGAATCAAAAAGATGAGCGTAGAAATCAGTGAATGGACAGACCCTCCACATTGCTCAGATCCTGCCTGAGTTGGTCCTTATCGTCAACATAGAATTTACACTTTCATTCGCATATGACTTCCCCCACCTTATGTACCCCTTCCACTGTCATGGCTAATTACTGGCATTTGCTTCCTCTAAAGCAGTTCAGTTTTCCTCCAAGTTCATCTGAAGCAAGTGTGGAGAGACCCATCTCAGGGCATGGAGGGGAGCTCTGGGCTCCACCCATAATAAGGCCCCACGGACAAGCCCTCTGGCTCTCTGTGCCTTAGCTTCCTCATCTGCCCACAAGACTTCACGACACAGCCCTCCCAGACTCCGGTGGTCGGGTCTTATTTCCAGCAGCTCGTGCATAGTTCACAGAGGCCCCATCACCGTGTGCATGAGTCCAGCTCCCACTTACCCACATAGGCCTTGACTAATATGTCACCCCCTCACTGCTGAGTGGGTGACCGGCCCTGCACTGCCCCAGAGCGGGGGATGCGAATCCAACTGGCTGTGCTTCTGAGCATTGACTATGAGCTGAGCATGTGACCTGCTCATCCTCATTCATTCACTCTAGAGTGTTTACTGAGCATCTACTAGGTCCCAGGCCCCGGGCTGGGACTGGGACCCAGGGCCTGGGATCCTACAGCAAGAAGGCCGCCCAGCCCAGTCTCAACTCTCACAGGCTAGCTGACAGCGCGGGGAGAGCCGCCAGGTCCTGGGGGGCACTGGGGCTTTATGCTGAAAGTGATGGAAGTCTCGGAGGGTTTTAAGCAGAGAGGTGACAAGATCTGATTTGTGTTTTGAGCAGCTGACTCGCTCCTGTCGGCAGAAGGGTATGTTAGTATGGAGAGGCAGCCTCTGGCGAGGAGGTGGCTGTCAGCCAGGGAGGAGGGACCAAGCCGCAGTGGCCATGCTGGGCCCAGCTTTCTCCCTCGGACCCGGGCCATGGCCCGCATCCTGAGTGCCAGCCCGCCTCTGGCTGGGCAGATGGAGGCCCCGGTCTGCACAAAGCCTGGGCGAGGGTGGGGCTGGCGCCAGAGGGCCCTCTTGCTCTCCAGACACAGTGCACCCCAGGGCATGCCTGACAGGGGAGGATCGGGGACACTGACAAAGCCAGTCCTCAGCCCCCTCCCTCCCACCGTCTGTCCCTACAACCTCATCATCATCATGCGAACCCAGAGCATCAGGACAGCACTGCAATTTGCCCGCAGGATTCATTCCTGTTGTGTAAAAATTAGTTTCCACTGAAAGGGCTGGGGAGACTGCATTCACTCTCCCTGTGTACAGCTGGGTGGCCCTCCATGTCGGGGAGGGGGAAGCAAGTCCTCAACCCAGTCTGGAGGGCAGGCGGGGGGGAGGGGCGGGGGGGGGTTGGGATGTCCAAAACGGACACCTTGCCATGTGGCTGAGGGAATCGCCTGTTTATGCTCACAACCACCCGGAAGTGGGGTGGCCCCCAACAGGGACCCCCATTTTACAGATGAGGGAACAGGTCCAGAGAGTACAAGTCACCTGCCCAAGGTCTCAGGGCCAGGAAGCCACAGAGGCAGGGTATGAGCCGGGTCTCCAGGCCCCCCAGGCCCATCTGCGGCCTCTGGCCAGGGCTGGGGCACGGCTGAGGATGGTGAAGGAACTAGGACCTAGGCAGGGACGAAGGGGAGGCAGCATGGCCAAAGGGAACCCCACTTCCTCGGGACTCTCACTGCCCCCATCATCTGGGGTCATCCCTGATGGGTTGGGTTCCATCCAGGCTACCTGCCTCCTCTCCACCTGATGGGCCCCCTTCATGACACACTGGATGCTACACCGTTCCCCCTGCTGCCAAGTCAGAGGCATCTGCTTTCATCCCGAGGGGCGTCAGGGACTCCCCTGTGCATGCACACACAGTGTATGGTCACATATACACACGCGTATGCGTGCTCCCGGTGACCAGCGGCAAAGGCACGCACGCATATGAACACCCAGGGCGGCTTCTCCCCTGCCCCTGCCCTCCCCCACGTCCAAGCCACCGCCATCCCTCTGCTGTCCTCCCACCCGACACTGGCTCCGGCCTGGCTGAGGGCATGGCCGGAAGGGCCAGGTCCCAGGGGAGGGTCAGGCTGGGCCGAGCTCCTTGGAGCCCGTGGCAACTCCACCTGCTTTAGCCGGCAGGCCCCAGCTAGAGTGAACAAGAGGTGGGCAGGGGAGGGGTACTTCTCCCCCAGCTTGGGGCGGGCAGGTTCCCCATCCCCAACTCACCCTCTGGGAGGAAGCTTCTGGATCCCCGAAATGGGGAGCACATGATGTCCAGAGTTGGGGCAGGCGAGGGTGAGAGTGGGCCCCTCTGTGCCAGCCCGGCAGCGGGCAGGCGGGCCGGACCCTGAGGCCTGACGCAACGGAAAAAGAAATCACAGCTTATGCCGGGCCGGGCCCCCTCCCCTCCTACTCCAGCAGGAGGGCAGGCGGACAAGGTGTCATTAAGGGAGGGTTGGGCCTGCCATGCGCATCTGGGCCAAATGGAAACCTCCTTAATGCAGCATCCGCCCCACAGGTAATTTGAGGTTATGGGCTGCAGAGGGGGCATGGGGAGCCAGGGCCTGCTCGCAGATCGTCCTGACTCTTGGCCCAGGTGGGCACGGGTCTTCTAGGGTGGCCAGATCCTCAGGGAAGGGGCTGGAAGGGGGAGATACAAAACTAGTAGTCTCTCTTACAGATGAGGCAGAGAGGGCAGGGCTTGGGAATTCCCATTCATTCCTTCCACAAACACTCCCCGAGTGCCCTGCAATGAAGAGCAATGAACAAGACACAGAGGCTTCAGCCCCCCACAGGGTCCACTGGCCCTCGCTCCTAATACATCTTGCCCTTCAGGTGGACAGAACAGGATCTGGAGACTTGGGTGCTGAGCCATGGGCGTAGAGGGTTGTAGAGGGAGGGAGAAAACCCACCATGCATGCTCTTTAATCTCAGAGAAATGACAACCACCTCTTCCTGACACACATCACAAAGATCACAAAGTCGTGACTCAAACCCTGGACCCTCATGATTGCTCCAAGAGACCAGAAGGGGAGGGTTTCACATCCCCCTTCACAAGGGTGGAAACTGAGGCCCCGGAGGGGGCAGTGGTTTCTCCAAAACAGGGAAGTATGATGCTGAGGCCAAAGGCCTGGTTGCTTAACTCCATCCTTCCGCCCACTATTGGCCCCAGTGGCTCAGGACCCAGGAGCTTGGCTGTGCACCCTACTCACTAAGGGGAGGAGATGCCGAGGCCTGGAGGGCTCCCAACTCAGAGATGGGCAGTGTCAGGGAGGCACCAAGAAAGGCAAGCAGAGGGAGATGGGCAGTGGAGCGGGGGGAGGCAGACGGCTGAGCTGGGGGAGCCCGCTGGGGAAAAGAGGGGATGGAAGGTGAAGGGCAGGGCTGAGGTGCCCAGGGAGGCAGCAAGTCCCTACTCCGGAGAGTCTCAACTGGTGGAGAGTATGGGGCAAGTGTAACAACAGGACAGCCTGTCAGGACTTCTGGTGGAGGTCAGCAATGTGCCCCTTGAAAAAGCGTGTTTAACTTGATATTTAGAAGATGCAAAAAAGAAATGCCGTTTTCAGTGCCCACTATGGAAAATAACACTCCACAAAGTCTGGTCGGTGGCAGTAACAAGGAGGGGCTCAGTCTTCTGATCGGTGCCGGCGACAGTGAAGACCACAGGCTCTGGACTCAGAAGGCCTGACTTTGAATCCCTGGTTCTGCTATTTACCCGCTGTGCGTCTTTGGGCGAGTTACTTAATATCTCTGGCCTCAGTTTCCTCCCTCTACAAAATGATGACAGTGAGAGAGCTCTCACTGGGTAGGGTGAGGATTAAGCACTTAGAATGACAGCTTGTAGCTGGTGCTATTATCAGCAATTCTTGATGGCTGCGGGCAGGCGGAGCAGATAGAAAGTTCGGGAGATGCATGAAGTGTACGGATTACGTAAAAGGGGCCGAGAGTTGAAACTGGTTGAGAAATATGGCTCTAGGCTCCCCTTTTCAACCGGAAGACACCGGGCTGGGATGCCAGTGGCCAGCAAGATGGTGGCTGGGGGGCCAGGGAGGGGATAACGGATTGAGGCCCCACCAGGGGCATGCCTCAGGGCCTTTGGGTCCTCACGCATGCAGAGAATCCCGCTCCGTGGGGTCTCGTCATTGACAGCAGAGACTCCAGCGGTGGTGGCCCCAGGCTCTCGCAGTTCCACGTGTGTTTCCCAGGTGGGCCACCTCAGCATCTCCCGGGAGCTTGTCAGGAATGCAGCATCCTGGGCCCCACCAGACCTGCTCAGTCAGAACCCCTAGAGTGGCACTTAGCAACCTGTGTTTTAACAAACCCTCCTGGTGATTCTGCGGTGGGCTAAAGTATACACAAGGGCCAGTGGGGTGGCTAGGTGGGGCATCGTGCTAAAATGCAGATTCTGATTCAGCAGGTCTGGGAAGGGA